TTTTTATTTAGTGCAATTCCGTTATCTGTGATGGCAACAACGAATTAAAATGACAAACCATTGTGTCTAGTCTGAATACAGGTTTACATTGGGAAAAAAGTGTACCAGTCTTACATGACGGGAAGTGTACTAGAAAGGCTTTGTTCTCGGTACAAGTCTTATTCCAGAGATTATGTGACGTCAACTGCGACGTATACGCATGTCTGTTTGATTACGAGAAAGCGTTTGATCGAGTAAAGTACGCCAAGATGATGCAAATACTAAAAGAAGCAAGAATTAACAACCAAGATCTAAAATTAATTAAAAATCTTTGCTGGAATCAGACAGCAAATCTCAGACTTGAAGGTGAACACACTGACTATGTGAAAATCAATGTAGAGGCCTGTATTTTGTCTCCTCTAAACTTCAATCTGTACTCTGAAAGAATATTTATCGAAGCTTTGCATGAAACTGAAAAAGGTATTCTACTAAATGGTTATCTGTTAAATAACATCAGATATGCAGATGACACCGTACACCGTAGTATTTGCGGACAATTTAGAAGACCTACAAGTTCTTATAAACAAAATCACGTATTACAGTCAACAATATGGACTCAATATAAACGTTAAGAAGACAAAGCTTATGATAATTAGCAAGAAAAGGATAAAAGAAGGTCAACTCTACGTCAACCAATCCCCTGTAGAAAGAGTGACGCACTACAACTACCTCGCACCATAATAAATAAAGAATTGACCAACAACCAGGAGATTAGAGCACGCATCCGTAAAGCTAGATTCACCTTCAATCGGATGAGGACAGAGTCACAACCTCTCTTTTGATACAAAAGTCAGAATGCTGCGATGCTGCGTCTTCTCTATATTTTTTATAGTGTTAAATCGTGGACCTTGAACGAAGATATGTACAAAAAACTGGAAGCATTTGAGATGTGGCTATATCGGAGAATACTAAGATCTCGTGGACTGACCGAGTCACAAGTGAGGAGGTCCCCAGGAGAATGAGTAAGAACCGAGTGGTACTGACCACCATCAAATCTAGAACTGATGGTACTGACCACCATCAAATCAGATATGCTCTCCTTCAAGCCACCCTGCAAGGAAAAATATTTGGAAAACGAGGTCCAGGAAAAAAAAGAACATCTATGGTTAAATAATCTCAGAATCTGGTTCAATACAACACCTGTGCAGCCTTTCTGCGCTGCTGTAGATAAGATAAAGATTGCCAACATTCGTCACAGATCTCTCTCTTCAATCCTGACCCCCCAGGGGGAGTGTAGTGGTCGACGTGATGTCGTGTATTGTCCGTCTCCAGAGATCTCTGTCTCTGGTCATTTCTTTTAATTCATGCATAGGTCTTTGGCATATTCCTGTAATTTGATCTATCCATCTTGTTGGGGATCTTCCTCGTGATCTTCGGCCTTCTACCTTTCCTTGTAATATGAGTCTTTCCATGTTTTCTGTGTTTCCTCTCATAACATGCCCTATTTTAATTGTTGGAGATGGACTTTTACTAGAGAGTCGTTGGCTAATTTTTAGCTCTCTTAAAATTGAATTATTTGTTCTACGGTCGGTCCAAGGAATTCTTAATATTCGTCTCCAACAGAACATTTCAGTGGCGTCTATCTTTCTTCTCTCCGATTGTCTCAGAGGCCAAGATTCACATCCGTATTGGGAATATTAAGCAGTTGATCAACCTCATCTTTATCGCTCTTGAAATTTGACAGTCCTTCCATATTTTGGTCATTTTTGCTGTGGCAACTTTTGCTAGATCACATCTACGTTTAATTTCTTCTTGTAATGACCCTGTGTTTGTGATTAATGATCCCAGATATAAGTATGAGCTCACAACCTCGAACCGGTCAATTGTGGTTATGTGTGGATGATTGTTGTGTAGTCTATCCACTATCATGATCTTTGTCTTTGATATGTTTAATTGCAGACCAAATATTTGACTTTCATTTTCGATCAGTCGTATAAGTTCCATCAGCTCTGCTTGACTATTTGCAAGAAGGGCTGTGTCATCTGCGAAACGTAGGTTGTTTAGTTTATGATAATTTATTGAGATGCCCTTTTCCCATCCTTCAAGTGCTCTTCGCATAATATACTCCCCATATATGTTGAATAATTGTGGAGATAGTATACATCCTTGTCTGACACCCCGTTCTGAATGAAACTCGTTCGAAAGTGTGTCAAGTACTTTAACTGATCCAGTAGTGGCACAGATAGGGTATCGTCACAGATAGGCACATCAAGAAGAAGAGATAAATCGCAGAATTTTCACGACCAACAGATGCCATTTTAAACTCAATCTCCTCCTTAAATCCACAATTATATTGAGAAATACAAAAATTAAACTCTACAAAACAATAATACGCCCAGTCCTAACATATGTTTAAAAAATCTGGTCTCAGTTCTTTGAAAAACAAAAAATAATGAAACCATGTTAGGATATTTCGAAAGAAAAGTACTAAGGCGAATCTATGGAGCAGTGAATGACAATGGAGTGTGAAGAAGACGATACAACTTAAAACTTTATAGAATATACCAGGAACCTGATATCGTAAAACATATTAAAATAGGACGTCTGAGGTGGATAGGGCATAAATTGCGGATGAAACAAAATCACCCAGCTAGAAAAACCCTACTTGAAAGACCCATTAGTCAGAGAAGAAGAGGAAGAGAAACAAGGTTCCTTGATGACATCGATGAAGACATAAGAAATACGGGAATACGTGCTTGGCGAGAAAGGCGATAAATAGGGACGACTGGAGAGAAATTCTTGAGGAGGCCAAGATCCACGTAGAGTTGTAAATCCAGAATGATGACGATAATAAAATGAAATAAAACACAAATGGTTCAGATATTGTGAATTTATTTGCTGGGTTCTTTTCGACTGTCTATAATAAAGAAAAAATAAATCAGATTCCTAATTTTAAGTACGAAAATTATGTTAATGCTAATAATTATTTAATTAATGTTAAGGATATTATTGATAAGATACAGAATAATCCGTGGAAACTGACAGCGGGTCCAGATGGTATCCAATGTATTTTATTAAAAAATGTGTATTCACTCTTGCTAAACCTATTCAGTTATTATTCAATAAGTCCTTAACTTCTTCTACATTTCCTGATTTTTGGAAAGTGAGTTTTTTAAAACCCATTTTTAAATCTGGTCAAAATAATGTTGAAAATTACAGGGCGGTTTGTTTGCAGTCTGAACTACCAAAGTTGCTTGATTTGTGTGTTAACCATATGTTAACCTACGATTGTAAAAATTTAATTCTCGGTCAACAACATGGTTTCTATCAAAAGAAATCTACTTGTACAAATCTTATTTTGTATTCAAACTTCATTGTTGAGTCTATGGAATCGGGAAACCAAGTTGACTCCATATATGCTGATTTTGCCAAAGCATTTGACAGGGTAAATCACGAAATATTAATTGCTAAACTTCGTGGATACGGAATTGGAGATAATTTATTGGATTGGATCACGAGTTATTTAACAGATCGTTCACAAATAGTAAAATATGGTAATTTTGTTTCTGAAGCGATTAATGTTACTTCGGGTGTACCTCAAGGTTCTCACTTAGGCCCACTTCTATTTAATCTGTTTGTGAATGATATATCATCAGTAATTAATAATAGTGAATTTCTATTGTTTGCTGATGATATAAAGATCTTTAAAGCAATTAAAAATACCTCTGATATGGATGCTCTTCAGTCTGACTTAAATAATTTATCTCGTTGGTGTGACATTAATGCCTTATATTTAAATATAAAAAAGTGCTATAAAATTACGTTTTCCAGAAATACTAAACATCAGTTATATAGAACATACATACTTAAGGGAGTATCGATTACAGAAGTAAATCAAATTAGAGACCTTGGAATTACATTTGACCAAATACTAATGTTTGATAGGCATATTAATAATATTACATCGCGGGCTTATAGAATGCTCGGCTTTGTTCAAAGGAACTCCCGAGAATTTTCAATATTTACTTTCAAAATTTTGTATTGTTCTCTAGTTCGGTCCATTTTGGAATATTGTAATATTATTTGGTATCCATATTATAATATGTATATTGATCAGTTGGAACGAGTTCAAAATAAATTCCCAAGAATTTGCAGGTATAAAATGGGTTTTAATAGAACTAACTGTGATATTCTTTGTCAACTTAATATGAAAACTTTAGAAAATAGAGAATCTGAGTGTGAATTGCGTTTTTTGCATAAAATTCTTAATGGTTATGTTGATTGTCCGGAACTGCTGGAATTAATTGTTTTTAATGTAAATTCTAGAAGAACACGCTCTCCTGACCTGTTTAGACTAAAGTTTCATCACACTAATTATGGTAAAAGTGAGTCAATCACAAGGATGTTGAGAACTGCCAATAATTTGCAAGATAGTGTTGAATTGTTTAATTTATCCGTGTCCTCGTTCAAGAACAGTTTAAAGAAATTGAGACATTAATGTTATTAATACTTTTTAAAATTGTAATATATGACTACAGTTTATATGTTAATTATATGTGTATATTGTAATTTTTGTAAGGAAAAAGGGTTCATCCCGTTAAATATACAAACAAACAAACAAACAAACAATAATATAGGTAAAATAAATTAAATTAAAACAAAAATAAAATAAAAATAAAATAAAATAAAATAAATAAAATATAATAAAATAAAATAAAAATACAATAAAATAAAATAAATTAATTAAAAACCATCGCTCCTTGCATAGACGATAGGAAAGCTATACTTCCGCTCCTCGGTTACTCCCGGACTGCCACAACCCATTTCTTTTAATATAAGAAAATGTAGTTTATTACGTGTTAATAATCCATTTGTAATATATATTCGTCATAGCTAATAAAGAGTATTTTAAAAATTAATTTAATGCGTTATTAAATTATTTTATAACAATATTCCTGTGTTCGGTTTTTACTAAGAAATTTTAGAGCAACCCTCGTAGAAAAAGAGTGAAGTATACTTACGAGTTGAGCGGCGAGTCGGTGTTTCTGTCTCGCTAATTCTAAACTTAACGATTTGGCATTAAGAACTAATTTGTTTTTTCTTGTTGAATATTCATCATTTGAACATGAATGTATATCACAATTCTCCGTCATCGGTACCGGAACACCAACGAAGGATTCGCTTAAAGTGCGTTTTAAAATTGACCCTAAAAACAAAATATTAGCAATATAAAGTTTTTGTATTACTTTTTAGGACAAATATCTGTACCATTGAATTTTTGGTACTGCAAGTAAAACTACAGTTTTTTTTGACAGAAACATATGGCGGTTTTTTGACAAGGTTTTATAAACGATATCGCGACAGGAAAATGTATTAGTACTGTTTCAAGTCTATGCGTTTTGCATTAACCTACATTTAGAAATGTTATTTAAAAAACACCCTCCCTAGAAACCCTCCTTATTTCTAATACAACATTATAATTCACACCATTCGAATTGGTATTCGGAAAAACCTGTAGACTGCCAACAGAGAATGAGATGAGGCCACTATACAACTCTAACGATTATCTTGTAGAGCTAAAATACAGACTAAAAATAGCCACGAAAGAGGCCAGAGAGACGCTGATCAGAATACATTAGGAAGAAAACATATGATAACAAAACAGGCACAATAATAAACTTGCGTGCATAGAAATCGGCCCACTGTAAACTTTTGACTTTAACTGTATTTTTTTCAAGAAATATTCATCAGATCACAAAAACAAATATACTGTTTGAAAGACAATTTAATATGCTTTAATGTGAGTGAAAATTTATGAAAACTTATTTCGGCTTCCTATGTTTAACATACTGAAATGAATTCATTAAGCAAATTAAGCTTTTTTATTATTGACATAAATAGGGTTATTGACAATTTAAAACTTAACACTTAATTTTTTAATAATGGGTATGACCTCCTCTTGCCCTAATAACATCTGTCATACGATTAGGCATAGATCTAATCAAGTTTGCTATTGTTGCTTGTGGGATATTAAGCCACTCTTCTTCTGCTGCAAGAGTAAGCTCTGGGATCGAGTCTAGGGTATGAAGTCTAGCTCGAATTCTTCGTTTTAGCTTATCCCATAAATGTTCGATCGTATTTAGGTCAGGACTGTTTGCTGGCCAGTCTATAACCTGAAAACCGACTTCTTGCATTGTCATGCATAAAGATAAATTCGTCTCCAATGTAGTCGACGTAAGGTACCATATGAATTGTTAAAATCTCCTCGATATATCTGGCAGCCGTTAAACCTCTTCTTCCGCGAACACGGTCATCCCTACGAATGAACTAAAGATCGGTTCGTGCTCCTATAGAAATTGCACCCCAGATCATGCAGGAACCACCCCCATAAGCACTCCGCTCTTCAAAGCAGCATTCTGCAAATCTCTCTCCTGATCTCTCAGTCGCTACCATAGAGGCATATTTTGGTCTCATCTGAGAACAGAACAGATCCCCATTGTTCCAACGTCTAATTCCAATGATCCTGTGCAAAATGCAGGCGTGCTTGCCGATGAGCTGGAGTAAGTTTTGGACCAATCGCAGGTGTTTTAGGGGTCAGGTTATTTTCCCGCAGTCTTCGTCTCACTGTCCACTGACTAACAGCCACTCTTCGCACCTAACGGAGCTGTCGTTGCACCTGAACGGCATTAAGGTAACGATTTCTTAATGTTGTTGATACAATAAAGCGGTCATCACGAGCGGTTGTAAATCGCCGTCTGCCTGTTTCAGGTCGCCTATGAAAGGATCCAGTCTTCTCATAACGTTGGCACCCTCTTCGAACCACTGCGCGTGTCATATCAAATTGTCTAGCAACAGCTCGCTGACTAAGTCCATTTTCGATTAGAGCAATAACTTGGGCGGCTTTTTGTGGTGTAGTATGCATTAAACTAACACACTTGAATACTGCTGAGATTATGAAAAACGAATAATATGCAAATTTCACTTGCAAAGGCAATACTTTTACAATTAGACAAATTTGTTATTTTCGTGACAATCACCACATAAACACGTTTCATTTGTTTTTTACGCATGTAAACGATAAGCCTTTTTGATAAATTTATACTCACATTAAAGCATATTAAATTGTCTTTCAAACAGTATATTTATTTTTGTGATCTGATGAATATTTCTTGAAAAAAATATAGTTAAAGTCAAAAGTTTGCAGTGGGCCGATTTCTATGCACGCAAGTGTATATAAATCAGGAGATAAGTTGTAACTTAAAAACGAGTCAGGTAGTAAATTTTCTCCACTCTTGAAATTGAGCGAAAGGTGAATACTAAACATAGAGCCTTGCTGGCCAAAGCCAGATTCTAGAGAAAATTTTAAAGAAACAAAACTATTCAGCTGCGATATATGCCGTTAGTTGTATCTTGAATAGATGTTTTATTGTTAATACTATAAAAAATTGATATTAGAATCGTGTATAACTTGAAATAATGTGTACAATAAAGTAATAGTTACCTGCAAATCTAACAACTGCTAATTCTCTTGCATCCAGCTCCCTCTTTGTACCTTTTTCAGTTTCTAACATTGGACTTTCCAACCATCTTGAAAATTGTTCGTACACTTCTTCTAATTCGGAACTGAAACAATTTACATGCAAAATGTGTCATTATTCTTACTTATAAATAATAGGTTTCCCCTTTCAAGATTTTTCCCTCTATTTATTAAAATAGTTATAATAAAACCGATGATCACCCGTCACCAGTAGACTAGGATAGTTTGAACTATGTTTTCTAAATCTTTAAATAATAATCCTTGTATCGGCATGTAAGTAGTATTTATTCGTTATTTATTTATTTAATTTCATTTTACTAGATTGTTTTGTGTCACTTATTTTTACTTTGTCTGTTTTAATAGATTTTAAGTAATATTTAATAATCATAGACATATAATATTGGCATAATTGCTGTAATGTCTTTACTAGACAGCACTCTAAAATGGGTTTTTATAATTTTAGCATTTAGTTTATCATTGTACCTAAGACCTAAAGATGCATATCAAATTTTAGTATGTGAAACCGGTCGTTTGTGGTAGAATAAATAGGTTGTGAGTAAGTCTTATACTTATTTCTTTTACCTATTTAAACAATTAGATTTTCTGTGCATAGAAATCATTCAAATGGATTCCATATATAGTATACCAGTAAGATTGATAATATTGTAACGTAACACTGACCAGTCGTCAAACTATCGGCAATCTAGAACAGGTATCCATTATCCACAAAGATTCCAAAAACCCGGGATATTTCGATCCTTTGCTAGAACTCTCAAATATTTTTGGATGATTATAAAAACCAGTTTTTAATTTTAGAGTCAGCATGTATGTAGGTTTTAAGAAACAATTAAAGAAGAAAATGGGCAATGACAAAAAATAATGAAGACCAAATAAGGATATTTGAAGAGAACAGCACACGATCCGATACAAGAACATGAGGGTTCTCGGAAAATTTGAAGAAACGAGGAATCAATTATTTAAACCATAGGCAATATATTATATGATTTATGAAGTCACAGGTTAGCGTGACAGGGAAAATGCTGTAATAGAATTCAACAGGAATTCTAAATCCAAATCCAGAAAGATCCAAAACGAGATGGCTAAAAGTTGTAGTGGATGATCGCTGAACGATTAACATATCATGATGGAGTAGAAGAGCATCGAAAAAGTCCGAGTAAAACCGGGATTATAACAAAACAAGAATAATATACTTTGAGCGGTAGAAAATATAATAAAGAAAGGAATAGAGGGAACAAAAAATCAAACAAACTAAATAGTAATATATTTACCTGTATTCAGTACTAAAACTATATTCAGATGATTTGTTAGATTCTTTTCGATTTAACACAGAAGATTGTTTATTCCTAAATTTATCTATCCATTCTTTTTCTTGGTTTAACGAGTTTTCTAAAAAGTTATCATCCAGAGATTCTTCCTTTAGTGCAAATCCAGTGGATCCTCCTCTCCGTACCCTAAAAATTTAATAAACATTCATTAATAATAATAATAAAGATATTTTTCAAGCCTATGAGTATTTTAATCATTAAGTCCTTAATGTGTACGTGTGTGTATACGAGTTCAAAGTTAAAGAGAGATAAAGCAATAAAGCTTATTGAGAAGAAACCATAAGACGTTTACCTTTGTTACAAAATGTTCGTGCTTAAAAAACAAAAAAAGAATAAGGAAGAAAAAAATAATAAAATATATTGATACCTTATATCCCTATCTTGTAAATTTGATCCCGTAACTGAAATTCCGACGGCATAACTGGATTCTTCACTGGTAGATGGCGTGCTAGTTGTTATTTCCTTGCGCAGGGCGTCTCGTAATCGTTGAGCAAAAACATTTCGGCGTTCAGGAGTTTCTAAGTCTATGCTGTAGCGTTTATGATAGTTTTCATCTTCGTCACCTAGAAAAACAGTTGTTAAATATTGTAGGAGAAAATCGGGTAAAATAGTCTTCCCGGGTAAAATGATCCCCTAACATATTTCTCATAATTTTCATAAAACCGCCGTTTAGTTTTTTTGTTATAGCACCACTAGCGCCACCTATGTACAAAGCTGTGAATATGTGCGAAGCATAATAGACTGGTTTTAATATAACCTATAAAAACACAAATATTTGTAATATTGCTAATTTCGTGTTCGCAAAAATTGTGTTTTGAGGCGTTTTAATTAAAGTAGAATTTTGTTAATGGAATTTAAAAAGGTGTGTTTTTTCTGTTTATTTCATATCTGCTGAAATTTCTCTAATTATCAGAAGTCACTATTTTGGACTGAGTAGACATATGAGAAGTAGAAACTTAAGCCAAAAAACAAAAATAACTATATACAAAACCCTTATACAGCCAGTGTTGACATATGGATCGGAGACATGGACCATCTCCAAGGCAGACAAAGACCTTCTGCTTACATTTGAACGAAGTATCCTGAGAGGAATATTTGGTGGCATCTATGAAAATGGTGTTTGGAGGAGGAGATACAACTACGAGGTATACCACAGATATAAACAAATATTTGGTGGTAAAAACGTAGTATCTCTTATAAGAATCAGCAATCTAGCAAGATCACAGCAAAACAACCCTCCTAGAAGAATCCTTATATCACAACCCGTGGGAAGTAGAAAAAGGGGTAGGCCAAAACTCAGATGGAAGGATGGTGTAGATGAGGATGGTAGAAAGATAGGCGCAGCAGACTGGCAACGGTTGGCAATGGATAGGACTGCCTGGCGTAATAGACTTGGGAAGGTCGAGGCTCTTTCATGGGGCTGTAGCACCATTGATGATGATGATCAGAAGTCACTGATGTAAATCAGTTTTTATATTTAATCAGATTTTGAGGTAAAGTGGCCCCTCCATGTTGAGGCAAAATGACACCGCGGACCATTTTACCCTGGCTTAGCTTAATAAATAAAGTTTTGAGTTATATTGGAATATTGTTATAAGAATTAAATGCAGATATATTATTTTTACAGAAATAATGATTAGAACTATTGAAATGGTTAGAAAATATTTCTAATGGCATGCCTTTTAAAATAGCTGCTAGGCTTTTTAATCTGCCCTTGAGTACTTAAAAAAGGACCAAAAATCAAAATGTGTTGGTAAGTGAACTAGAAGTAGACTACTTTATTCATAGGCAACAGGTTATTCGAAAAGCCTTGGTGAATTCACTACAATATTTCCCAAAGAATTGAGGACTTGAAGGAGTATATTTTAGAGACTATTTGGCTTGACGAAGAAAAACATTTGTGAAATAGCCTACGACCGTTCAGAGAGGAATGCTATTAAACTCAGGTTTTCTAAAAATAAAAAGTCATCTGTAACAGCTTGGTCTAGAAATTGTCTTAAAGAGATATACAGAGATTTCGTTTAGAACTCCTGAAGCGACCTCAGCTACCGAAACGAGAGGTTTTAATAAAGAGGCTTTGCTAAGTTTTTTCTCTTTTGGATGAAATACAAATTAAAAATAACCTTAACCCTATGAAAATATATAAAATATGGTTGAGTCTGGTGTCCAGACGGACCCTAACAAGTTGCACAAAATTTAAGCACATAAAGGGCGGAAATAGGTTGGTTTCCTAACAAGCGCTGAAAGGGGACAAAATGTCACTGTTGTTCTCTGTATAAATACTTCGGGTCAATTCACCTCTCCAGCAATAATATTCCCTCGCAAATGAAGGAATGAATTATTATTTCAAGGTGTCCCTTATGGAAAACTTTCTCTTTACAACGAATCTGGACACATGAAATCTGAAACTTTCATTCTGTTCTTAAAGCATTTTCAACAATATACATGGTAATCAGTTGAAAATAGAGTCCTATTATTACTTAATAGTCATTTAAGTCATAAGTCTGTCGAAGCTATATAATACTGTAGACAGTACTGTACCATTATATTGCTGTCGTTTCCTCCACATTGCATCCACGAGATGCAGTCATTGGATGTAGCAGTATTTTTACCTCTAATGACATATTTTAATAAGCACGTTATTTTATGGCTTAAAAGAAATCCTAGAAAAGGCGTAACTAGCTTGTTTGAAAAATCGTATCGAAGAGCTGCCACAATTGCTAACGGACTCAGTGGATTCAAAAAAATAGGCATATGTGCTTTTTTTCCGAAAATATTCCTAGGTTGGAAATTTAAACCGTCTGATCACAACTGATCGACCTATAATAGAAAATGAAACCGTTGATCCCATCCATGAACAAAGAACTCCTTCTCCACAAAGAGATGCTTCTTCGCTTCCAAATACTTTACCTGTAGGAGAAGGAAAAATTCGTAATATGTCTTTATCACACGACTCAGAGGAATGGGAAGCAAATGGACAATCTTTAGAATATATCAGCCTTTTTGGAAACAGTCCGGGAGGATTATCGGAAAATGAAACTCTATTCACTACAGCTTCAAATTTGGAAGTCAAACCATAAAGTCGATATTACAAGCTCTGCAGTTGGTACTTCAATCCCAATTTTCGAAGTTAGTACATCAGAACAGAATAGTGGCGTTTTTTAATAGCATAGACATTAGTCATTCAGCCAGTTGCAATAGATTCTCCAATCAAACAAATACACAACTCTATCCCTAATAAAACTAACGGATAATATTAATAGAAGAATATAAGAGAAGGAAACTTACAGGATCACTTGCTTTTCGTCTAGGGGTCCATCAAGACATTCTTAGTAGACAAACAAAACTGGACCATGGATAAGGTGATAACATTTAAGGTAAACAAAGGATACAAATCTAAATTTCCACACGATCATGAAAAATTCCATGCTTGCGTACAAATTCTATAGAACTGTGCATGTGTCTAACAAGAAATCTATAATGATGTTATATATTTGTTGTGAGCCTGTAGCCAACAGCGATTTCATATTGAATGGTACATAGATATTAAATTCGATCAATTTTTTGTAGAGAGATTTTGAATGCTGTTGAAACTTAGGACATTCAAAAAAGATGTGATCAAGATCACCCAGTTTTCCGCAATGTTTGCAATTATCATCTTCAGTAACATTTATTTTATATAAATGGCTTGGATAACACGCATGTCCAAAGCGTAGTCTATTTATGGTGGTTATATATTTACGTGGAGATTTAAAATTCTTAAACCAAGTAGTTTGTGGAATAACTGGTTGTAAAGTGGTGTATCTTGTTTGGTTTGTAAAGCCGTAAAGATTCCATTGATCTTTCCATGTCGATAGCTGGTTTTTTAAAATCGTAATGGCATCTGATACACATAAAGAATATGACAATAAAGTGCCTGATATTATACTGGTTTTAGCTAAGTAATCTACACATTCATTATCTTTGAGTCCAGTATGTGCCTTAACCCAAATAAATTTTATATTCCGAAATTTCATCATCCCTGGAGGATACTTTTGTAATTTCATATGATATATGTCTACTACCTAAGACACCTCCTTTGGCAAGAAGTTCAATACCAAGGATCAACTGTGTTCACATCTACACCAAATTATATTTTGATGAAAATAAAACAAAAAACGGTCAAGTTAACTTCACATTCAGGTAAATAGAAAGGTATTTGGAAAAAACACAAGAAAAAAATTTGACTATATTTTGCTCGGAATTATTCAGTAAATCACAGGCGAAGAAGGTTTCGATTAAGTGCAATTTGTGCAATTAATGTTTACATTTACTGTGTGCAGGTGTAACTAAAAACGGAAAGCGTATTTTGTAAATAAAAATGTAAAAATTATTTTTTCTGTACAAAAGAGCTATAGGGGTCATTTTACCATATGGACGGAGTTATTTTACCCCATGATGCTGTAAAACGGTACCTTTAGAGCTTTTTAAAAATAATGTTATTTTTCTTTTAACTTACACTTGATAATAATTTTTTTAAAGAAGTTTGTTCTGCTATACCCCAGTTATTGTCTCATTAGACTTTACTTGATTATTTCGATTTTTGTTATTGCTAGCCTAAAAAAATGTTAGAGAGACCATTTTGCTTCACTCTCCTCTATAGATTTTAAAGACAATTAAAAAACATTTTTAATTGTCTTGTTCTTTGGTTGCTCATCGCAGAGACCAACAGTGAAATTTGCCAAATAAATGGAAGACAAATTGTTTGTTCTTTGTGTCGTTATAAAACTTACCGTCATCCACACTCGTTTTAGCACTGTGGAATTCCCCTTCTGACGACTCACAACTGTCGTACTCACTTCTGCTTTCCTCCTCGTATGGTTTTCTTGTAATTGGAAGACACTCTCCGGAGGAACCAAGAACTATAAATCTATAAAAGACTAAGTAAACACTCTGTAAGAGTACGTGTTAATATTTTACCTTCCCCTTCTTCCATGTACCACCGAGTCACTGGCTTTATTTCGTTTCTGCAAATTCTTTTCCATTTCTAACTGAACACATAGTCTATCGTTTACTAAGTTATTATTGTCTGGTATAGGAGAAATTGAGCCGCTGTGGGTAGTACTACAAGATTGCTGAGTTATTAAAGGTATATTTAGGCAGTCTGATTGATTAGAACCTACAACAAACAACAATAATAATTATTTTGAATACAATGTATTCCTAAACGTAATATTTTAATAATTTTTACCCATAGATTCTCCAATTGGGGAGAGTCTTCTACGTTGATGAAATGGTGTTTCCTTTTCGTTTTTAACTAACTGTTTTTGTTGAAATCCCAATAGGCACTTATTCAATTCCCGTAAGATGTTGTCCTCTTCGTATTGTCCAATAGGTAACTTTGTGTAATCTTCTGCATCTATACAGCATACGGACAGCTAGAAATGTTTTAAATTTTATTATTTGAAGACAATTAAATTTAAAAAATTGTTTAACGTTTATTTTATTTCACTGATTCGCTTGTGTGTGAATAAATTTTATATGTCTTGGCAGTGTTGCTCAAACAAGGCTCAAAGAACTGATATAAAGCCTCGCAAAGGAAAACGAGAAGAAAAATAAGTCCACAATCAGATTAGCAACATGGAACATTACTTAGGTGACAAGACGGAAACAGGAGTGGAACGAACACATTAGTAGAATGGCAGAGGATCGGAGAGTACGAATAGCAGAAGATAAGTCACCAAATAGACGAAGAAGTATTGGCAGACCAAGAAAAAGATAGTGCAATAATTTAAACAATTTAGGAGGCCAATATTGAAGAAGAAACAGTCTTTAAAGCATACATATAAGAAGGAAGAAGAAAAGAAGAAATAAAAGGTGTATCGTGAATCTATTGAGGAGCTAATAAGGAAGAAACTTCCTAAATCAATTGGGTGTAGTTGGCAAAAAAGAAAGATACCAGTAGAATAGTCTGAGACTCTGAAGATGACCTATCAAACTGTTTTCAGTATCAACAGATCTACAACGGATCAAGTTTTTTAAATGAAAGTAACCCAGACAATTTGTTATTAGTATCAAATAAAATTATACACAATATTCATTGAGTTTAAACACGGATGCGATATATTTATTAAGAAAAAAAAGTTCAGAGTATTGAAGACCCTGACTATCAGTGTTAACATCAGAAACTTTTCAAATTAATTACTATTTAACTGGGAATAAGCCACAATTAAAGATAAAAATACATTTATTGACGTTTCAATTTCCACTTCGGAAATCGTTCTCAAAATACAAACAGTAAATTTAAAATAAACTTTTCAAGTTAAAAAATGTTTCCAAAATTTAAATATCTAAATTTAAATGAGATTGAATAACCTAAAGAAACCATAGTTTTGAACGTTAAATAATTATCATATTTACCTCTTTGGGGCTGTCAAATTTTTCTAAAAAGGCTCTATGTTTGGGATCTACCATTCTGGAAATATGCCTTACGTTTTCTACTGTAAGTACTTCGTTGTCTTCTAAGGCTTCAACGTTTAAAAGTATTGTAAGTAACTCTGGCGCAGTCACTAGATTTATACATTCCTAAAAAATTCAAATTTACTGACATTTTTTTTATTCATGAATAACCTGCCCACTTAAGGTAGCTCCTTACTTAAATATGTTTTTAGAATATATTATAATAAACAATATATAAATGGAAGGATGGATCTCCAATTGGAAGACCAATAGGTGAATTCCTGAAATCATCAAAATAGATGCCTATTATTCAAACCTTACTATTATATTTATCCTTCATTTTCCTGTCCTACATCCTAATTCCTTTACTTATTATCATTTATTTCCTATACCTACCGCAAATTCTACTACAATCATTCCTCCTGGGCCATATCTCCTTATAAACGAAAAATCCTTTCAATATTTGAAAGAACTATGTGTCCAAGCGACACAAGATATCTTTGTCCAGAGGAAACAATATTAGAAGCAACGAAAACTGATGACTGTATCAAACAAATCCTGCTATTGAGCACCCAAGAAGCTTCTTGTCAATACACCCCCGTCCTAACTCGATATGTCATCATACAAAGATTATCAGATGCCCACTATATCGGAATATTCCCCGAATCAACCAAAATTACAACTCGAAGTTATACAACAAAAATTTTGGGCCTAAAAGGAACTTACCTCATCAATCTTTCGCCTAGATGTGAATTCAAAACCCCAATTCAGAGTTACATAAATTCATGGACAACCATCCCAGAGGAACCGCTAATGCTTCCCAAAATTAGAAGCATAGATATTCAAACGGCGATTAAATTCAAACCATTACACATATATAGATAGATCAGATTCCGTTAGACATACTGCATGAACTCTCTAAGGAACAGGAACATCTAGAGACAATTAACCCGAAATTATAGAACCATAGCCATAACCATTTTTAGACGACTCCTTTATATATCTTTATTACAATAATCTGCTTCTATATATGTTACAGCTATAAAACAAATAACAAAAACGAGACGAATCTCCAGAAGAGGCCTACTTAACCATTCTGTTCGTTCCTCACAAAACTTCTTTATAGCGTCGGACCCAGAACCGATCCCTGTGGGACTGCAGCCGTTATGTCAACGAGCATACCCTTCTCAACCAGGATCTTTCTCTCAGAAAGATAATCCGCCATCACATTCATCGAATAGTTAGGACACTCAATCTCTTTCAATGCTCGCATCACCTGTTTCCACTACAGAGTATTGAATGCATTTCTAAAATCGAAGAACAGCAGAGCCGCCCAGCACTGTTAGTCCTCAAGGTTGTGCAATACCTCAATTACACTTAAAATTGCGTCAACTGTGCTCTTTCCTTTGCAGAATCCGAATTGTCTCGGAGATCGACCTCCTGATCTCTCAATGGTGTCGTCGATCCGTCCTCGCTGCATATTCTTGTACAACTTTTCGATATAAGGAAGGAGGCATATAGGGCGATATTTCTCTCCAGTTTTGGGAAGCAGTACCAACCTTTATGTCCTTCAAACTTCAGGAAATGCCTGTGCTTTAAGCAATGTATTCATGTGCTCCAAAAGCCACCAGGTTCCGCGCGTCCTAGATCCTTTACAGCATCAAGAAGTATCTGGTCTAGTCCGGGGGACCTACCTACGTGTCTTGAGTGCATCCAATGCTTTGACAAATTCATGTATGGTAAAGGGTACGGCGCGTTCAGTTCCCTCGTTCTTCCATACTCCATGCTATGTACCGGATGGAAAAAGCTCACGTGTTACCCTGGTCGTGAAATGTCTAGTGGCACATTGTGTGAGGGGTACGCATGGAACTTTTTTATTGCAATTCTATATCCCTGACCAAAGATATCCTCATCCAGCTTGTCACACAGTTCTCTCCAATGCTTTCTTTTTTCTATATGAATTTTTCTGCAAAGTTCTCTCTTTCGTGCGCGATATTCTATTTCAATTAGCTGGATTTGCTCGACGACAACAGAGTTCATCCCTGCTCTACCCCTTGCCCTCGTTATCCTTCTCCTCATGGCTATAAAATCATGTCTGAGCTCTACGATGTCCGCACTCCACCAGTATGGCATCCTCGACAACCTATTCTACTGCCTTCTGCAGCTTCTTTCATGGCTCGTCTCAAGTTTTCCACTTTTGGCGTTTGATAATTCTTCAATTAATCGTAGACTAGCACTATGATTATCATATAAGGTTATTATTAACAGTAAACTACGATTTAGTAGCAATTAAAAAAAGATTACCTGAGTAAATCCGTTGCCCAAAACGTTGCCTCCTATTTTGGCACTTGAGAAGCATATTTGGAGGCAATCTTCTTCCGTTCGATTCAATTTTCCATCATGGCGTATTTTTAAAGAACAAAGAGGTAAGCTACATTCCACCCAATCTTCTATTGTTAGCCATTCTTTACTACTCATAACCTAAAAACATATGTTTTAATGTTTTAGTAAGTAATACTATATTGATATCTATGCTCTATCTAGGGAGTTCTCGTTAATTAATTATTTTTGACCAGTCGCAATTTAAACAAAAAACGAAGTTATTCTAGGACGATTAGGTAAAAAGTAGGGATAAGATTAAACTTGGAAATTAAAATGGAACTAATTACCCTTCATAATTATTATTTTAAGCAAATTAGCTGCGAAATAAAAATGATAATTATTTTTTATGTAATTGTCCTAGAATAATTTTCTCTTTCGTTTATTTTTCGAAATATTTTTAGTCAACGCTAAGACATACAGTGTAAGTTATTCGAATTGTTTTTACGTTAATGATAACAGTAACTTTACAAAACAATTTTTGGGTATAAAAATGTTTAAAAAGATAAAAAAATATATTTCTTTTTTGATGTTAATTAAAAGGAAAACTATTTGAATGTCATAAGGTACCCGTAAGGGAACGAAGCTCATAGCGGAAATAGCGGGCAAAGTGGAAAATCGCTATCTCATGGATATTTAATAAATGACATCATTATAGATGGATTTGGGGTGAATATTTTTCACTATTTTTCTAAAATATAAATCTTTTTTATTTATTATTCTCCACCAAAATCAATGAATATCCGCCAAATATTTTTTAAACAAATGTTCTATACAAGACTTATGATTTGTATTGAGGGAGGACATAGTGGAACTGTTATTCTAGATACAAATGATTATTGAATATAAACGGAGGACCAGTCAGGGTCAATGGACCGCGAAAGATATAAAGCTCGCAATGGCCGAAACTTACAAAACGGACATTTCAAAAGCTTCAAAACTCTACAATTTTCCTTTGGGTATGCTCCACCACATAAAGAAAGAAGCAGCGAAAAAATGTTAGGCAGCTTCACATCAGTGTTCAGTCCAGAAATATAATTTGAAATTGTGCAATATGCCGAAGAAATGGATTCCAAGTTTTATGACCTCACACGGAATTGTATTCAAAATATGCTTTCCAGCTCTCAGTGAAAAATGATGTATCACATCCAGTTAAAAACAGTCATGCAGGAAGAGCGTGGATTGACGGGTTTATGAATTTAAATCCTGAATTATCGTTCAGATTGCCAGATCCGACAAGTATAGCGAGATGTGCAGCCTTTAATAAACGAGAAAAGTGGAAATTGTATGAAAAATACAATTTTTTGCAAAACCCAACCGTGCATATAACATGGACGAATCTGGCGTAAAAACATCATCTTCTAAGCTTACAAGAATTATTTCAGTCGAAGAAAAAAAAACAAGTAAGAGTAATAAAGTTCTGCTGAGGGTGTAGAACTGATCACAATAATTTATTAGATCAATGGCACTGGAAGTTTTATTCCGCCAGCCTATATTTTCGGAAAAAGGAAGAAAGTTAAACAGAGAATATTGGTAGCACTGCTTGGTCTGAGTGAATCAATGCTGACATATTTTATGAATGGCTCAAGTTCTTTATAAAGATACCCACAGTTCGCATTTAAATGCTATATTTTTTGCCAGAAAAATCAACGCATCATGTTATCTATTCCACCAGACACCGAGCACAAACTCGATGTGACGGTGTTCAGAGCACTTGAAATTGCAGTGGACACTTTTCAGAAGAATTTTCCAGGCCGCAGAATAATCGAACATGATTTACCCAGAAACTGCCTTTGAAAAGAGTTTCACCTCTCCAAATATCACCTCTAGGCTTCAAAAATGTTGCATTTGCATTCAACTCAGAAGTATTCTCTGACCTGGACTTTTTTCACCTTACCTCCACTTCAGCAAAGAAAAAATCCTCTCGGAAACCCCTTAGAATAAAGACACAAGTAGCCAAGCTGAAGTACAGTTATACCCTACTAAGAACTCTGTTACATCCATAGAAGGCACAGAAGACAATTCAACACAGCCCTTCTGATGTAGAGATGTGCTAGCAATATCTATAATCATGAAAAAAAAATTGCCACGGACATGTATAATCTTGCAGCAAGGACTTTTTTGCAGTGTCTTCTAAGAAAATCTTATCTTTTCCTAGAGCTAAAAGATTTACTGATGTTAAACGCTGGACCAGATGCCAACAATCTGAAGTACTCACAAGCTCACCTTTTAAAATGGAACTAGAAAACAAAGGAAATAAGAAAACGACTAATAAGAAAATATCATAGAGAAATTTGACGAAGAACACCGAAAAAAGTGAAAATAAATATTGCAAACAAAAAGTCATTATACCGAAACATCCAGTAGATATTGAGATGTCCTTAATCCCCTTAAATTTTCCTTATCGTTGGAGTATTAGAAAGAAGTTTAATTATGTAATATAATTAATTTAACAGAAAAAGTTAAAAACCATTGTATTGTATTATTTTTGCAAGGTAGAGGAAGTGTGCCAAATATAGAATATGTCATTATTATGCAATATCCTAAGGTTGAACAAACTGAAAGTGGCAATACTGGAACGACATGTTGAAGGTAACATGGGTAATTTCATAGTTATATTTGTTTTTACGCCAGCTCGAAAATTATTTAAGGTATGTATTCTATATTTTGATACTTAAAATAAGCGTAGTGCGGATTTCAAGTCTCAATAATTGAGACTTGAAATGTGCCAAGTCGTTTTTAGGAATCACAAATTTAAGCAAGGACCGCATACAAAGAGTTGTAAGAAATTTTGTTATAACTGGGGAGCTACCAAGAGAACGTAGAGGTGGCAATAGAGTGGGTCCAAAAAATGATGAAAAAAGAAACTGCGTCAAAAAATTTATAGAATCCATAACATGTACAGAATCTCGTTACTGTGGAAGCAAGACAAGCGTGAGGTCTATTTGCCATGTGACTTGAATTTTAAGAAACTTTTCGGCCATTATCTTCAGAGAGTGCCTCAGCCTATGCATGTGAAGCTTAGTTATTTTCGAAAGTATGTGAATGTTAACTACAACATCGCTTTTGGAACTCCGCTGACTGACTGTTGCTCCACTTGCTTGAGAACAAAGGAGCAGTTAAAAGTAGCAACTTCTTTAGCTGTTCGGCAAAAGTTAGCCACTGAGCATCGTATTCATATCGTAAAAGCAAAGGCTTTTTTCAAACTTCTTAAAAATACAAAACAGAACACAACTTACTTTTCGTTCGACTGCCAAAAAAACTTAGCACTGCCTAGACTGCCTGATCAAGCAGCATATTTCAGCCAGCAAATAAACTATAATAATTTTACAATTATTACTGGAACTTCTACCGATAAATTAAGACCAACAAATGTGTTTTCTTACATGTGGACAGAAATTGACTCTAGAAAAGATTCTAATAAAATAGCGTCAGCTTTGCAACATAAGAATTTTGATTTTGATGTCGGCATAGAAACAGTACGTTTGTTCGCTGATGGTTGTGGCGGACAAATCAAAAATTCGAATATGATGGCAATGTTGTCTTATTGGCTTCTAGAAGAATCGCCGAATCATATTAAACAAATTGAATTAATTTTTCCGATCGTCGGTCATTCCTTTATTCCGCCTGATCGTATTTTCGGCCTTATAGAAAAAGACATTAAAAAAAGTTCTGTTATCGTGGAAATTAGTGACTACGACGACTTAATCAGAAAGCATTCCACTGTACGAAAAATCGGTATCGATTGGGATGTGTTTGATTGGAGGACACAAACAAAACGAGTTATTAAGCTGCCTAGTTCTTGGCACTTTGAATTTAATAAGGCAAAGCGGTTTATTTTTTACAAAAGAGGCAACAATGTTCTAGTCCAAGGTGAACCCAATTACCGAAATGACGTTGGAAACCCTAAAAGCATCTGTAAGAAAAATTTTCCTCTTTCGGCAATGGCTCCTAAGAAGTTACCATTGGGAAAAGAGTTAAAGGGGGATAAAGGAACTATTAATAGTCTCCTTTCACAACACCATGGAGAAAATTGGAGAAGCCTTCCTGAACTCGATTTTTACAATAAACACATAAAAATAGATTCTACCTCACCAGAAGAAACCGTTGATAGTTTGGAAAATTGCCAACATACAGAAAATGACTGTTTTTTGATTTGATTACCTAGATTTTTTTTGTTTAAACATTTCCTTTGTATGACTAAAAATGATAAAGTTTTATTTTTATGAATAAATCTATAATCTAAACTAAATATATAAACTAATTGTTATTAGTTTATATATTTATTTGTAAAACTGGTTGTTTGCAATATACATTTTTGTTTAACTCTGTAAACATTTTAGGCTAAAAACTTCTAATTTCTATTGCTAAAACCTCTAAGCAACATTAATAAAAAATTTTACGTTGTGAGCTAAACACTACTCGGCCGTTAATCGTTTTTTTCGATTTTCCAACAAATTACTTTCGAGCAAAGAGCAAGTTTTGCAAATAATGGCCTCATTTAAAAAAAATACAAACCAAATACAAAACGGTATTACATATTGGCGCACTTCCTCTACTTTATTAAGTGCTCGATTCATGTAGGAACATGAAATCTTAGAGTTTTAGGGTTAAAATTTGTAATCAAAATAAATAATTTCCCACTATTAAACCACCTTTTAAATATATTTTTAATTTAATGACCATAATTTTCCTTAAATGTATTTAGATGGATCAACTTTTCAAATATTTAACTAGTGGCGTAGATGATGGTTAGTAGAAATTTTTATCAATGAATATTGAATACTTACTTGTCGCAAAATCTTCATTGTGCCATTAGAATTCTCGTTATTCGCCAACCATTCAAAATAGTAGAGTATACTTTTTAATTTGGATTTTTGGGTAGTGTGATTGAGACTTTTAAAAAAATCAGCAAAATTAAAATTTTGTAACGTTGGATGGGTTTTGTCAGTTCTTTTAGGAAATGTAGAAAAAAATGCGTTGGCAACTAAGGACGACACAAAGGTGTAGTCCAACTCTGTACTGTCAGCTACAAAAAATAAATTTAGTTTAAGCACAAAACACCATAAAAATCAAATAAATATTTATGCATAAATATGTTTACAACGAGTATTTCGATAGCTGTTCTTTTTAAACTCTATAAGGATTGCAGATCATTTCTGTGAATATGTGAAGACTAAAGTCAAAAAAATATTAGTTCGCAGGGAAGAGAAGAAAGAAAAAAAGTTAAATATAAGGTCCAGGCTGTAAAAAACGAAGAGATTAGGGGAAATTTTGAAGAAAAGTAAGGAAACGAATACTAGAGAAAGAAATTGAAGAAGAATAAAGGAAGGAGTGAAATGGATTGCGAACAAACTCATAATAGGTACAGTTACTAAAGAAAGAAGAGAAGATTGGTGTGATGAAGAGTGTGCAAAAATAGTTAACAGAGAGGATCAAGCATGGCATAAGTTGCAGTCCAGATGCACTAAAATAAAAACTGAGGAATATAGAAGATGCAGTAGGATAAAGACAAACAAGATGCGTGAAAGAGAAAAACAGCTTTTGAAAACAAAAAGATTGAAAAGTTGAAAAAACTAGGAAAAATATCAAGTAAGAGACTTCTTAAGCAGATAAAAAACGAAAGAAAAAGCTTTCAACGTAAAAGTAGACAAGGATATCTCATTGGGGATACAATAGTTGTCCTTGCAATGGGCAGAGTATTTTAGTGACACCCTGAATGAGATTTGAGATATGGAGGCTACAGAGGTTCCACGAATAAACCAGATCTTCCAGAAGTAGAAGTAGAGATACCAGCTATGGTAGATATTGCAGAGGTCATCAAATCTCTGAAAAATCACAAAGCTCCAAAAGCAGATGGTATACCAGCTAAGCTCTTAAATTAAGGAGGTTAAGCCCTAATTGGGTTGGGTTAGTTACGCTCCCTGATCACCAAAGAGAACGCCATAACGGAAGAAATCAAGCGAAGGATATTAAGGCAAACAGATGCTATTTTGGACTGAGTAGACATATGAGAAGTAGAAACTTAAGCCAAAAAACAAAAATAACCATATACAAAACCCTCATACAGCCAGTGTTGACATATGAATCGGGGACATGGACCATCTCCAAGGCAGACGAAGACCTTCTGCTTATATTTGAACGAAGGATCCTGAGAAAAATATTTGGTGGCATCTGTGAAAATGGTGTTTGGAGGAGGAGATACAACTACGAGGTATACCATAGATATAAACAAATATTTGGTGGTAAAGACGTAGTATCTTTTATAAGAATAGGAACACTAAGATGGGCAGGACATCTAGCAAGATCACAGCAGAACAACCCTCCTAGAAGAATCCTTATGTCACAACCCGTGGGAAGTAGAAAAAAGGGTAGGCCAAAACTCAGATGGAAGGATGGTGTAGATGAGGATGGTAGAAAGATAGGTGCAGCAAACTGGCAACGGTTGGCAATGGATATTACTGCCTGGCGTAATAGACTTGGGAAGGTCGAGGCTCTTTCATAGGGCTGTAGCATTATTGATGATGATGAAACCCTAATTGAAATAAGGAATAACTTGATTAAAGAGATATAACTAACACAAAAATACAAAGGAATTTCCCTGCTGAGTACATCATAGAACGTTTTTGCCAAAGTAAAAGTGAAGTGGGGAAACAATTGACACCACTATCAGAGGTACTACTTGAGAACTATCAACTATTTGGTTTCTGAATTAACTGCTCTACTACGACTAAACACGCACACTGAGAAAGATACTAAAAATGTAATACGGGCATATCATAGATGTGTATTAGCTCTACATAGACTTTATGGACAATTTCGAACGTAGTTATAAGGATCGAATCGTTATATAATGCCTCTTTGTCCGCTTCTTCCCGATCAACGGTGATAAATACAATAAAATATTGAAGTTATGAAGTAAAAATGATGGTTTTATTGACAGCTACTAATAATTACACTATAGGATGTTGGTTAGGTAACTATCTATAATAGACTACGCTCACATGAGCTCAAATCCCCAATTTATAATCTCACAAATAATGTATACCTTAGCACAGAGGTTATTGCTTCTATCATAGTATTAAACTTTGAACTATGAGCTTACAATACAATTTATTCTAGGCCGTAATTACAATACTTACGAAGTTCAATTAGAAAATATATTATTCGGCAATTTATTAAGTTGTATGTAAATGAACTAATTATGAAAATATTACACGATATATGTTTTCACAATGTTTGAATTATACACGGTGAAACTATAAAATGTTAAGAAGTTAAGAATAATGTGAGATTACAAATTAAGGGATTAATTTGTGATTGAACACTTTAAAAAAGCAAATTTGACTTTCCGCAGAAATATTACTGGTTAAAAGATTCTTGATTCGGCAAGCAGTACGATTAAAACAAACAGAGAACTATTAGTACATCTAGAAACATTAATCGATTTAAGATAAGATGTACTGTTTACTGTTATTAAACTTGGTCTTGAAGGAATTATGAGAAGGTTACCAGAAAACCCAGACTAAAATTATTCAGAGAAAAAACCAAGTGTATGCTCTTATCAAGGAACCAAAGGAAAGAACTAGATCACGAAGTCATCATAAATGGTCACAGGTATGAGAGAGTGACTTCACAAGTTTTAAATATCTGGGTGTAAGAGTAAACACAAATAATTCTGTGACAGAGCAGATTAAAGCCAAGATGATAGTGCCTAACTGAAGCCATTTCAGTCTGCTGTAAGTCTTGCAAGTCCAAGAGTTTACTAGCAACATAAAGATGATCGTTTACCTGTACCCGTGATGCGTCCAGTAGTAATGTATGGAGGCGGGACATGCACGTTATCCAGAAAAGATGAAGAAGCATACAGAATATCTTCAAAAAAATTTATGGACCAGTTATAGACGGTGAAATTTGGTAGTGGAGGAGAAACCAGACACTGCAGCTGTGGCCAGGTAACCAGACCTGGTGACTAAAATAAAAAACTCCGGATAAGGTCACGTACATATACCGAAGGAAAAGAAAACTATCAAGAAAGTGCTTTTGGGTGGCCCGAGTGCATCAAGAACTAAGGGAAAACCACAAATCCGCGTGTGCGGGCAGAGAGCCAACAAACAAGGAAGAACAGAGAGATGTTATGAAGCATGTTGAGAGCCTTAAAGCGCTGTGGCGTCGTAGAAAACAGTAAAGTACAGTAAAAAAACTAGAACATTTTTCATTAAGAAAACCTTTATTTTCTTTTGAAAATTTCATTGCAATTTCACTTGATGTATCCCAAAAAAACATGTTCTGATCCTATTTATAAAGAAATTACTCACCTTGTTGCTGCAAACTGAAGTGTAGACCGTTTTTTGGCCGACATTCTTTTATTTTTAAAGCTCTGGTTGCCAAGTTGGGTAACGTTTTGGAAAAAAATGTACTTCTTTCTTCATTTGTTAAATCGTTATCTAAAAAGTTCATAAAGCCTGCAAACTGGTGGGGATCAATGCTTTCTTCGTCGGGCTCTAAACTTACACTAAAAATAGTTTAAAAATGCAATAAAAAACACAGAAGTTTCTTTGGTTCATGAAAATCTTTTATCAAAAACATGATATCAAAGATTTACCTAAACTCTTTGGTTCACAATCTGGGAACGCGAAGAACTGAACATATAAGATGGTATGTAATTACAACGCAATACTGCTATTTATACATTGCCTTAAGAGAGGCGGGAACAAAACTCACTGAATTCACCAGGTGAGCATCAGTCATCCGTTACAGTTAAAAAAAGTTAATCAAATAATAACACAAAATTCGGAGTATTACTTTAACTCTAAATATTGCTTGTTGGTAGACTGTGGAAGCGATCATCAACTCCTGGTATTGAACGTTCGACTTAGTTTTAAAGTCCCCAAGAGAAGACCCCTAAGAAAAATCATGTCTCTAAATCCATCAAAACTCAATGACTTAAAACAAAATCTACAAGAAACTATTTCTTGAACTAGACTCACGTGACCGTGAGAGCACTTGAATCTATTTCAAAGATAAGGTAATCAAGGTTGCAAAAGACTGTGAGGCAGCGGTTTACACGGGCCGTAAGCCATGAATATCCGATAATACGTGGACTGTGATTCAAAACATAAAACTAGATATGGAACAAAATTTGAATACAGAGCTTTATCGAAAGAAATCAGACAACAGTGCCGTAAAGACAAATATGCAGAGATATAGAGCAACATGGCTGTCGAAATGAACCAAGAGATTTATTTCAGAAGATCAAACTGCTTAGAGAATTTAAATCTCAAACGTGGTCTGTAATAAGTAAGGAAAGTAATCTAAAGATCGATACTGAATCTGATGGATACTGAAGAAAGAATGTATGTTAAAATGCTAATATAACTGACGCGTTCCATTTAGTGATAGTGAATTATAATAAACTGTCCCATTCTTCTTTAATTTTCATAACACTATAGCAAGGATTCTACCTACCAAAAACCCGGCAGGCTCTACAGTTTATGCATTGTCAGATATATATCTTGTATGTTCATTCAACTCTGTATATTGTATATGTATACATAAATAACGAGCCATAAAAAAATTGTAATCGAGATTGATAGGCCATGGAATAAGCCCTCCTTCTTTTGGATGGGTAGTCATTCCCACACAAAGAATTTAAAGCAAATATAAACATAACCTAACTTTTAGACATACCTCGTCATCACAGTCATTAACATCTTAGTAGATGTGTTGTGGTTCATAATTGGGCTTCAGCAGCTCGGACAGTTTGATTGATAATATTTCTCCACTGGTCGCGGTCATCAGTTATATGTATTGCCTCAGTATACTGTTTATTGAGAAGCTTTTTAGTAATGTCCGCCCATCGCTGTGGAGATCTTCCGCGTTGGCGTTGAGTCTGAGGCCTTCCTTGGACCACCAACCGCTCCATTTTGTGATCACTTCGATGGATATGGCCAAAGAACTTTAAAATTCTAGAGTAAACGGTACTGGAGAGACGCTGATCCGGTTTAATTTCATCCAGAACCGAGATATTTGTACGGCGAGCCGTCCATGGAATTCGAAGCAGGCGTCTCCATGTCCACATTTCAAAGGCGTTTATACGTCGTCGATCTGATTCTTTGACTGTCCATGTCTCGCATGCATAGTAAAATATGGAAAAGACCAGAGTTGAAACGAGTCTCTTTTTGTTTGTCGTAGTAATGTGACGATCACGCCAGACCCCGTTTAGTTCACTCATTGCTGCTCTTGCTAGTTGAATGCGTCTTCTAATTTCGGATTCACAACTGCCTGTGTTGTTAACTAGAGCTCCAAGATATATCATAGATGAGACTACCTCGCATCCTGCAATAGTTTGGGTTTCAGGAAACTGTTGTTGGCGATCAATAACCATGATTTTGGTTTTGTTGTAGTTAACCATGAGTCCAAATTTAGCACTTTCTACCTCGAGTTTTTTTAATAATTTAGTAATTTCTTCTGGAGTAGAGGCTAGAAGTGTAGTGTCGTCTGCCAAACGCAAGTTAGATATCTTAACACCACCTAGGTTTACTCCTAGGTGTTTAGTTTACTCCTAATAGACATACCTACTTATTTGATACCTTTATAAACCTTACCATTTAAAGTTAAACCACATAATTATTCTGTGGTCGAACCATTAAGCATATATTAACAAAGAGCTATCCAATGCGAGGTTCGCGGACGACAGCGCCTTGTATGTATGCAAGTTCTATCAGTTCCCAAAAAATATAATATAAAACGTCATTATACTTCGTTGCATGAGAAAAAGTTTCAACATTATACTGGCAAGTCTAGAACTACTATAATTGCGGAATATAAGAAGAAACTGAAACAACAAACAAATTTTTTATAAAAAATGATGACACAATTAAAAAATGCACGTTCCTTTCTTTGTGTCTGGACAAAAGTACTTACTTACTTTCCGTGTCCGGAACACCAACAGCTTTAAATTTTGTGTTTTGTGTAAATGTTGTATAGCAATGATGCGAGGACCCTTCCCTGTGGGAGTCCACTTTTTTGATCCCTCCACCGACTGTTTTTGGACTGGAGCGTTACGTAAAAGCGTATATTCTGGAGAAGACATATCATTAACCTTGTCATTTAGATTGTTACAAGCCACTCTAGGGTTTTTGGTAAAAAGTGCCTTATTTGTTCTGTTCATATATCGTCTAGGCCAGCCGCTTTATTATCTTTCATTTGGTGGATCGCACCTCTCATCTCCTCCAGACAAAAGGAAGTACCTAGAACTTCCTATTCTTCGTCGATATTTCGTTGTACTCTCACTTTGTTCTTCCTTGATGTCGTCTTACCATTTGTCAGGAGGCGATGGGCTATCTGATCGGGTGTGACTTTTGTCAGATTGGGTGCCGGGCGGCGGGATTGTTGCCAAGATTCCGAATAAATGTCTAAGCGAGTCTGCTGTTTTGTTTCATGTCTAGACTCGTGACCAGCTTGGACCACCTCTCCGTTCTGTTGGCGGATATCGCATGTAGCCCTTCCTCCCCGGATTGTATTGTTTCTTCCGAAACGGAATCGTCTCCATATAGCAGCTCGTATCTTTTAAGCAGGGGTTTAGATTCTTCATTTAGCCCCGCTATGTATTCGGTTCGGCAATCTCTAGCAATATATTTTCGTGATATCTTTTTTATGATTTATACAAATTTATCGTATGAATCAGGGTACGGTTCTAGCTGGGAAACTTCTTGATCTAATGCTTTAGCGAATTTTTACCACTTTGCTTTAGTTAAATTAAACCTTCTCTTGAAAGGAACAATTTCGTATCCGATTTCTGCGTTCAAAAAGCAAGTTATTGGTCTGTGCTGGGTTTTTGGGAAGGCGCTTCTAACAATTTTTGTCCCTGGTCTCCAATCTTGTCGCTGACAAATGTATTATCTGGGTTGTAACCTCTGCACCATCTTCCGCTGTTGAAAGACGCGGGCTATTTTGGAACATGAATAAGTTTGAGGTTTTTTAGTCCAATTTTCTAGTTCTTTACCATTGGAGTCTGTTTCGTTATACCCCCCACGCGATACTGTGACAGTTGAAGTCACCCAGTATGAATTTTATTTGCTGTGATTGAAAGTTATCCGGTTTCTCAAAAACAAAGTCAGCGTTTGACGGTTTGTAGATGGACGTTACCATACAAGACTTTAGTTTCACTGTGAGGATCTCGATGTCATCTCGATATGTTAAAGATGTGAAAACTATATCGCTATCTGATCTGACGAAGACTGCGCTACCATAATGGTCTTGTGGTCTCTCCAGTACAAGTCTCATACCTCGAATTTTTGATCTGCGGCTTGCAGTACCTCTGGGGTTGTTTGAACCAGTAGGACATCGACACCGTGTTCTCTGCACATATTAGACAGTAGATCTTCTTTATTTGCTGATAGTCCTTCAATATTAATTGAAGTAGTCATTAAAAAGGGGACACGAAAGGAGCCTCTACGTAGATTGCGATCACATGTGAAAGCAATCGGGCGTGCCCTGAAAACGAGTAGTCTCGGCTAATCCTTTCACCACCGGTGCACCAACACAGATGCAATCGCAACCAAAATGGTCTTTGTCAAGGCCATTTTTGATGACGAAAGCACTAACCAATTTGATATTAGTCAACTTGTAATTTTTGTTCGAACTATTCAAGACGACTTCACCGTAGTAGAGGAGATGTTCAGTTTAATTCCATTACATGGAACAGCCATGGAAACTGATATTTTCTATGTCGTACAAAAAGACGTATCTGACTATGGAGGATTCGATCCGATGGAGCCAAAGCAATGATAGGAAGTAAAACTGGGTTTGCTGGACTCATAAAACAAAATAATATCAACTGTCCTGTTATACAGTGCATTACTTATCTCATTACAAATCCCTACAACAAAAAGATGCCATGAAAGTTGCTACTAAAACAACAAACATTATTAAAGGCGGTAATCGGGCACTCACTCATAGGAAGTTTCGTGATTTTTTGGCTGAAGTGGATGCTGCATATTGGGACTTATTATTACACACAGAGATTCGTTGGTTAAGCGCTGTTTCAACTATTTGCAACGTTTCTTTGCTATGTGCAAGGAAATTGTCATTTTCCTTAGAAATAAAGTTAAGTCCAATACTACAGAATTCCTAAGCAACCTAGTAGTCAGACCCAGCATTTCTAACCGACATGACTTCCCATCTGAACGTATTAAACTTAAAGTTTCAAAGAAAACAACATAATATTACCAACTTTTATGGTCACATAAACGGATTTAAGAATAAAATTAAGCTATTTAAGTCTACATTAGAGAAGCAAGATTCACATTATATCCAAACTCTAAAGAGCAGTTTGAAGAAATGAAAGAGTTTGATTTTATTTGGATTAGATTGAAATACTTATAGAAGAATTTGACAATCGATTTAGTGACTTCAGGAAAATTGAAGAAGATATTACACTGTTATGTCAGCCGCTCACTATCTGTGTTGAAAATGTAAGACCTGGACTTCAACTGGAACTATGTAATTTGCAGTTAGATCCTTTTTACCAGGGAAGACGTGGAAGAAAAGAGGATTGGACTTTTTCAAATTACTACCGGAGGAACTTTATTCCAATTTATGAAAATGTGGTTTTAAAATGCGTTCAATACATGGAAGCATCTTTGTGAAAGCAGTTTTTCAAACATGAAATTTATAAAATCCAAATACAAATCCACAAGGAATCTACGTTCCTGTAGTTGGCTGTATACCATATATTAAAAAAATTATTAAAATACTTTGTAAAAGGTATATATTTAAAAACCCAAACAGGCTATGTTAGACAAAACGTTTTCGAAATCCATATTCCATCATCAGTATCTAGGAGTACATGAATGTAGCCACTAAATATATGGGTAAAAACCCGTTAACAAATAATTAGTTACAATTGGTTTACAGTATTTCTTATAAAATGTTAACAGGTTTTTGCCCATGTATTTAGTGGCTACATTCATTTACTCCTAGACACTGATGATGGACTATGGATTCCGAAAACATTTTGTCTAACATAGCCCGTTTGGGTTTTTAAATATATACCTTTTACAAAGGATTTTAATATATTTTTTTAAATACAAATGTTCGCTCTCTGCTAAATTACCTTCTCAGTTGTTTCGTTTGGCAACAAGTAATAAAATTAATATTGATATTCTTTTACAGCACCCATAAACTTCTCGCTAAATTTAGGAATATATATGTTTTTTTATATGTGCAATTAACCTTGTAATGTAACTTAGCTTCTTGAATAAATAAAAATGGATATTCAAATATACTCCAGTTTTATTCATTATAAATCATTTAGCAAGTCGCATATGAGGCAACCCTCACATTGTTATTTTCTTATATGGTGGCCCCCAAACTACTTGAAGTTGGACAGCTCTATATTAACACAAGGAATTAACTTTACATTCGAGAATTCCAGTCATGGCATTAGTGTTTATGGTGAAATAGTGACTACCGTTTACTGTTTTTTTTTTTAATAATTTGACTTAAATAAGTTTTAGCACATCCTAAATTAAATCTTAAATCCAAAAATGAAATTGTAAAATGCATGCATAGGGGCATTTACAACAACTAAACAAATGAACACACTGAACATGACATTTTCTACTACATTAATTAACGAGCTGTCGAAATTCATTTAGCAAGTTACAATTCTACCGACTGTTAAAACAAAGTAGAAATCAGCGATTCCATGGCCTCATTAAATTACATTTTTTTTCGATGGCTCTAAATAAAAATACAATAATAACTTACTTGCACATTTCATATATTTTTTGCATTTTATCTATCAGCTCAGATGAATTTTTGGTTTCTGCAATTTTTTTTAGTAATCTTTTAACTGAATCCCACCAGGGTAGGTCACTTGGAAGCATAACCAGAGCCATATTCTAAGAATAATCAAAAAACCCTTTATTATAAAATTATTTAATGTATATATCATTATTTAATGTATACTATATATGAGTTGTCTAGTATCAAAACCCGACAAATCCACTGAGGTCAAATGTTGGGAAATTCAAAAAAACTGTTTTGGTATGAAAGTTAAGCTTATGGGTATTCATATTTTTTTATTAGTTAAAAGATATGTTTCTGAATTAAAAACCATTTGTAATTATTCTAGAAGTACGTAATTTTAAATAAAATTTAAAAAACAAAAATGGGCTTATCGGGTTTTGATTTTTGAAACAAACGTGTATGGAATTGTCGGAGGTTGAATTATATCTAGTTTTGTAAGTAGTAAATCACAAAAACAAATATTGTTGTTTAATCTTATAATTGGTTTTATTTTTGACAAAAAACATTAAATTAAACTATTAAATCCGGAACTTCGTCAATTGATTCACACAAATGGTAATTTTTGGTTATCTCTGGAATCTCGTCGTTTTCAACATTATCATATTTTTTCTAAATATCATCAAAGTATTTTAGAGTTTCAAGTTGTTGCCAATTTTCTCCCCAATGTTCTTCCAATAAGCTCTTTATATCCTTAAGTTTTTCTTTTTCAGGAAGTACACCACAATGACGAAGTCATTTAGGAAGTGTCCACTAAGAATTTTTTTCACTAATGGACACAGATGGAATCAACAGCCAGGTAATTTACAGAACAAACATTAGTGAGTATTCAAAGAAACGTCGTATATTCCTGGAAGATCTGGAATTAGCATTCGTTACACCAATTATGGAAGAACGAAGAAGTAATCCGCGACTTACAAAAAACACTTACGATCTAAAATAGTTCAAGTTTTGGGATAAAGTGACTAAGCTCCACCGCAAAAGCAACATACGGGACGTGGACGGTGTCAAAAGTGTTCCAGAAAATCTGACCCGAAAACTAAACAAACGTGCGATCAATGCCAAAATTTTTATTGTTTAGATCACCTTCATCGCATTTGCGACGAATGTATCCAGTTCCGGGACTCCTAACTTTTTTCAAGCTTGGATATCCAATGTCCTGCTTTTTTATAATTTTATTTAAACCTTTGGAAAAAACTTTTTTGGAAAATCTCTTATTTTGAATCATTTTTTTTTGTTTGTGAATTTTTGATGTACCTAGAGTTTTTTGTTTGTAGGAATTTTATTATTTTGTAAATTTTACCTAATACAAATTAAATTTAATCCAGTGGTAAAAATTACTGTTATTTACAATAGATAGTCAAATAAGATATTTAAAAAAATAAATTCGTGTTCGAAATGATTGTTGAGTTTTTCCTATCAATTTTAAATGGGGTCAATAATACCCCACTTGGGTTATTATACACACATTTTTCACCCTGGGTGACGCCGTGTTAATAACACTATATGGCGAAACAGGCACATTAACACTGAGATGAAGTCAAGAATTTATACAGCCAGTGTAAGACAAATAATGACATATGCCTCAGAAACAAGAGCCGACACAGCCACAACGCTGTGTACTGAGATGAGAGTACTGAGAAGAATTACAAAAAATATGCAGAGAGATCCAAAGAGAAGTGAAGACAATAAAAGAAAAAGTAAAGTACTGTGAATAAATGAATGGACACAAAACAGAAAAAAATGGAATAACCACATAAGCAGAATGGAGGAGACCCATGTCGTCAAAATAGCAAGAGATAAATCACCAATCGGCAAAAGAAGTATCGGTCGACCGCGTAAAATATGGAGTGACAACCTTCCATAGAGGTATTCGCCAATGAACAAGCCGAATTGCTTATAAAAACGAAGAAGAAACACATTTTTAGTTAAATGCTATATTTATATGGAATTAAGCCACAGTAATGAAAATTATATATATATATATATATATATATATATATATATATATATATATATATATATCCGGTTTTTTAGGCGTTACGACCGTCCGGTAGGGATCTATGGAGGAATATCACCGAGCCGCAAGCCCTTATCTCTTGCCGTACTGCTCCACCATAGGCCGATCAGATCCCAGCATATTCTAGTCTAAGCCGCAGATTCATCTAGAATTTTAAACTGCTGCGTTAGACTTTTTGTTTTCTGTACACCGAGCTGGGGCTCGATCCCACATCCACTGAACCATTCGACAGTGAAGCGAATGAGAGGCAGCCGCACAGCCCGCTGAGCTATCTGACCGACAATGAAAATTACATTTTTTTTTTAATTTTATAAAATGTAGAAAATTACATTTTATAAATATTTGACGTTTCGACTTCTACTTCGGATATAGTTTTCAATATATTTTTAATTAAAAATTAAGTTAATGAGGTTATTAAACCTGTTGTGTATTTGTTACCGCTTTGTGTTTACCTATGTTTTAATGATTTTAAATAAATATTTTTCTTTTTTACTTTTTGAATAAGCAATGCAACTTTTTTCTGTACCACATCATATTTTACTAGAACCAATTGTTTATTTAATTGAAGTATAATTGATCTGAAATACATTAGACTCACGATTATCCGAGGTAATTGGGCCCGCACATACCTCGGATACCGAAAAACTCGGATAACAAAAAATTTAATTTAATAAAAAAAATAAATATACAATATAACAAAAAATTTAAAAGTTATGACGTATGTAATTCGTTTATTATATACAATTAAAGTATGTTAACCTGTATGTAAGTATAGTTAAAATATATAAATAGGGAAACAAGTCCGTACTGGATCATCTTCATGTTTTAAAAAAGTCTTTGATATATTTCTGCGTCAACATCTGGCCTCGTTTTGAAGCTGCGACGTTTTGCCAACGCTGAAGATTAAGGACGTCGGTAGCGTTTGACTCTTCATGTTGCTGAATGTAGGCAAGGGCAGCTCCAATGGCCTTCAATCCTACGGAGTGAGATATTTTCTCGATTATCTCATATGTGTCATCCGTAGTGACATTGTGTAGTATTGCATGCAATAGCCGACTCGGCGATTACATCATCAGTCAGTTCAATTTGCTAATCTTGCATAATCCACTTGTTGATGTCTTCATCATTTATCGGCAGTTTCGTTCGTAACTGATGGGCGAGGTCTACTATTTCAGCAATACAGTCATTGTTATGTTTTCCATAACTTTTCGCTTCAATTTGAACAATCTTTTGTCATGCCTTTTGCAAAGTTGTCACTCTCACATCATTCCACGCTGAAGGTATCCAGTAAGACACATGTTTTAAAGAGCTGCTGTCACAATCATTTCCTCATCCAAGCAGGTCAACAACACTTGGAGAAGCTTCGACGAGAGTTCCGTTTCATAGCCTCTTAAATTCCAGTGTTACTGTCTTTAGTATTACTGCTAGCCAACGAACTTGCATCTGGATGAAATGGCGCGTTGTCCAAAAGAAGAATAGCTTTTCTTGGTAGGTTTTTCTTTTTGAGTAGGTTCATCAAAAAACCAATGTTTAAAAATTTGGGAATCCATCCACGCACTACGTTTATTCCTGTACATGGTAAATAGGCAGTTTACTTAAATATTTTTAAATGCCCTTGGATTCTTCGATTTCCAATGGCTTTAATCTTAAAGATCCAGAAGAGTTGCTACACATCAAAAGAGTTACTCGTTCTTTGCTTTTTTGTATCCACGCGCAGTTTTTTTACTTTGAGCTGCCAGTGTTTTGGTTGGAAGCATTCTGAAATTGAGATCCGTTTCCAGTACCATCACTTGTAGTAAAATTTTTCTCGTTATCCTTAAACCGTTTGTGAAACTCGACAGCTTTAGATTAAAGCATGGAGCCACTATTTTGGACTTCCCAACCCTCGAATATTAAAAAATCATAAAAATAAAGCTTCAGTGGTCTGTTCGTATTTTCCTTTCTTCATAGTTTTTCGCAATTCTCTCTCTCTCCAATCCTGACTCCCCAGGGGAAGTGTAATGGTCGACGTGATGTCGTGTATTGTCTGTCTCCAGAGATCTCCGTCTCTGGTCATTTCTTTTAATTCATGCATAAGTCTTTGGCATATTCCTGTAATTTGATCTATCCATCTTGTTGGGGATATTCCTCGTGATCTTCGGCCTTCTACCTTTCCTTGTATTGTGAGTCTTTCCATGTTTTCTGTGTTTGCTCTCATAACATGCCCAAAATATTTTAATTGTTGGAGATGGACTTTACTAGAGAGTCGTTGGCTAACTTTTAGCTCTCTTAAAATTGAATTATTTGTTCTACGGTCGGTCCAAGGAATTCGTAACATTCGTCTCCAACAGAACATTTCAGTGGCGTCTATCTTTCTTCTCTCCGATTATCTCAGAGTCCAAGATTCACATCCGTAGGTCAGTATTGGGAATATTAAGCAGTTGATCAACCTCATCTTTATCGCTCTTGAAATTTGACAATTCTTTGACAATTTGACAAATTTGACAATTTTTGCTGTGACAACTTTTGCTAGATCACATCTACGTTTAATCTCTTCTTGTAATGACCCTGTGTTTGTGATTAGTGATCCCAGATATAAGTATGAGCTCACAACCTCGAACCGGTCAATTGTGGTTATGTGTGGATGATTGTTGTGTAGTCTATCCACCATCATGATCTTTGTCTTTGATATGTTTAATTGCAGACCAAATATTTGACTTTCGTTTTCGATCAGCCGTATAAGTTCTATCAGCTCTGACACCCCGTTATGGATGAAATTCGTTCGAAAGTGTGTCAAGTACTTTAACTGATCCAGTAGTGTGTTCATATAGTTCGGTTATTAGAGTAATTAGATGTTGTGGTACGCCTACTTCTTTTAGTATTCGCCATAAGTGTCTCCACTTGACCCTGTCGAACGCTTTACGGTAATCTATAAAACAGATGTATAGTGGGATGTTGAATTCCCTAGATTTCTCGATTATCTGTCTTAAATTCAACAGGTGTTCTCGAGTGCCTCTACCTTTGGTAAATCCAGTTTGCTCTTGTGGAATTTCTCTTTGAAGGAATGTTTTCAGTCTCTCATTGATTATATGTAGCATTATCTTGCTGGCATGGGATATAAGAGAGATAGTTCTACATTTATGGAAGCTGCCTTTTTATGTATGGTCGTTATTGTAGATTTTGTCCAGTCTTCAGGCCATTGTTTGGAATGCCATATTTGGTTACAGAGTAGATGAAGTAACTTTACGCCGGTTTCTTCTGTGGCTTTAAGCATTTCTGCTGTTATCATATCTGGACCTGGTGCTTTGTTATATTTGAGCTTGTCGATAGCCTGTCTTACTTCATTTTCGAGTATATCAGGTTCTTCTTCCACCTCGTCAGAGATTTGGCTAACAAGCTCTTGGCGTTGATCATCTTTATATAGGTCCATGCAATACGATCTCCATGTCTCTGCTATATGTTTTCTCTGTTTGTTCTCAGGGTTCCAGTGTTATCTTCAACGACCCAAGTTCTGGCTCTGAAGTCTCTTGTCAGGTAGCGTATTTTTCTAAATAGATCTCTCGGCTGATTATTCTGACCATGTCTCTCAATTTCTTTGCATATACTTTGATAGTACTGTTTTTTGTCGGCCTTACATCTTCGTTTTATTTCTTTATTGAGGTTTCTTAAACTAGCTTTTTACCTTTCACTATGTACACCACTTTTACAAAGATTTTTAATTTTGATTAATTTTTAATTTAAATTTCGCAATTACTTACTTACAATAACAAATTAGTTTTACCACTCACACTTTTATTAACTGATTGTTCAATATCTTTTCGTTTACTTCTTCAATCTCCCACAGTCACTTCTCCAATACCTAGGCCAGCAGCAACCTTATTTACTGACTCACCCTTATCTAAGCATTTTATAGAACTTAATTTTGTTTGTAAAGAAAGCACAACTTGTTTACATTTTAAACTTATATTGCACTTCAAGTTATGTAGAAACTACACAAAGAGAACACATGAATAAACCTGTAGGAGCTTACAGTGGAACTAACCTAACATTTAGCTGTTACAACTTTAACGGGTGGAGGCTAGTGAGGCTGCCAGTAGAAGCACAGTGGCTAGAACAATAACACTCGCTAGTGACTCATCTCTTCAGCATACCAACAACCAGTGCAACGCTTTTACTTGATATCACTCTTAAGCTAATTTATGACATAATTTGTTTTTTTTTTCAATTACTACCTGGGTTAATCCAGAGGCTCGGTTAATCGAGACTCGGATAATCGCGAGTCTACTGTATATTTTCTATTTCATTTCAGGATGCAAGTAAACATTAAGGAGACCTTTTCGATTTTTTAAGGTGGTATTAAAATTTTGTTAATATACCTAAATATTAAGTGCAAAATATTTAAATGTTTACTAACTGTAGTAATGGATTTAAACTGAAAACTATATTTTTTACACAAAAAGGTTGCATTGCTTATTCAATAAATAGGAAAGAGAAATATTTAGTTAAAATAATTAGAACATAGGGTAAACATACCAGTTATTGGACAGTTAAGCTTTTTTTCAATTTCAAGTCGCTGCCGCTGGTGTAATTTTCAACGGATATTATTCGGCTATGCCACATCATAGTATACATATATGATATTTTAAGTTAACGGGTTTTAAATATTTCTAATATAACAGATTTTTTAGAAAACTTGAAAAGACCTGAACGGTTACGAAAAAGTTAGTTATTGGACAAAAAATTCAATTATTGGACACATAATTTTCAGTTATTGGACACTGTCAAAGTAATGATTAAAAACAAATAAAAATATGAAATCAATGTTCAAAAACTTTTATTAAATCTACCTAGGTACTATAAATCACTTATATTTTTTCATTTCATTTTGGTACAGATTAAAAAGTTCTTCGACGTCCATGTCGTCATTTGAATTATTTTCTAACATATGGCCCACTTTTGTTCCATAATCTTCAAATTCTTCTTCACTTGCCATTTTTGAATTCTCACACATTTTGCTCTTAATTCTTATTTGATGGTCTGTTCCGATTCCTTCTCCATTTTCTATTTCTCTCGGGTTTTTATAAACTTTGTTGTTGGTTTCATTACATTGGCTACTTTCTATTTGTTTTGGTTCGTCGCACAAATTGCTGTCATTTTTCTGAGCATTTATTTCATTATCTTTTTTATTGTCAAATTCTTTTGGTTCTTGATCGGAGTAATAATTATTGCTTTCTATTTTTTTCGGCTCCTCGCGTATTTTAAAGTTGGATTCTGTTTGATAATCTATTTCGATATCCTCTTCGCTTTCTATTTTTTTAAATTTTTTACACATTTTATTGTCAAGTTCTTTTTCATTATATATTTCGCCGTCTTCTTCACTTTCTATTTCTGAAATAACGCCATCATCGCTTTCCTCAGTGTAACACATATGACACATGAATAAATCCTCATCATCTTTTTCAGGAACATGAACGTTATATTTTTTCGGAACACACCGTCGATGAATTCTTTTCTTGCAGCTATTACATGTTAGGTAATTATTTTTTACTGTTCGAATCTTGCACAGAAAACATGAATTATTTTTGTCGGTATCTCGGGCAGTATTTTTTAAAGCTTTTGCTGCTGCACTCTCTTCTCTTTTTCGTTTTCTCTCCAATTTCTCATTTTCTAACTCTAATTTTAAGGCACGTTTCTTTTCAAAACTCTCTTGATACTCTCTTGATGTTATAGCAAATGAAACTCTTTTGGTATTACGTTTATTCTTTCTTGTTGATTTTTCTGGAACTATTAAGTAGTCACCTATACTTTTACTAGTAGATGGCAAACTATAGATAATGTCTTTACCAGGTTTTATGACAATATTTTGTGTTATATTAATTTTTTGGTCTTTTGAAACTTGATTTTCAGATGTATTTAATTCAGCATCCAAATTTATTTTAATTTCTGATGCACCTGAAGGTTGCACAAGTGCAATATTAGGTGGATCTAGTCCAGGTTCAGTCTCAGTCGAGTTCGATACTTGATTATTGAATGATCCTGGCACATCTCTCATATCCAAGTCAATTTTTTTATTATCTGGCCACGAATCAGGTTTTTTAAAATAATTCCATATTTTGTATAAAGTCAAAAATTCTTCAGTAATGCCTTCCTTAACCAAAAGATCATCAAAAGATTGAAATCTTTTGATTAAATCTTCTCCAGCCAAACTGACGAATGTTGTATGGTCCACGGTTATGATTAGTGGCGGTTAACAAAACATTACGCAGGTAGCTTATAATTAGTGGCCTTTAAAAAGATACCAACTGGTGGATCTTTCTTTATTCTTATTATATTGAATCTATTTCCTTAAATGATGTATATTTTTTGTAATGTTTATTACAACCTAATAAAGGATTTCTGTGTGTTGCATGAAAAACAATTTACGCACGGTGTATGTTTCGTGATACAGGGCTAGCTCTAATATTTAGATTTAGGTGATATCTTAGACGAATACGTCAGTTCTTGAAAAACATTACGCATTTATATAGTTTTGCAATCATGACCACACTAGACAGATATGTATAACAATATGATAGAGCATTTGATTAACATACTCAGCATAACAAATCTTATGTTGGACTAATTTATATGGTATTCATCACACGTAAAATAATTGTGTCTCTCAAAGGGTATCATGTATCACTATTACTTTTATATTTCTTATCTAGTCACCATCATTTTAACTAGGACTTATGTAGATACCTAGACGAGGGTGCTCTTCACTTACTTATAGTGTGTTGCATATATCACTTTTACTATTAGAACGTGCGCTGCTTCCAGACGTTTTGGCTACTTAATGATTCTCAATACGTCATAAAAATACACAAACGTCTAGTACTCGCTGGCGTCGACGATTTTGACGTCGCGACGCCTCTTTAGGATATATAGGCAATTATAATTACAGCAAAAACTTTACTAGTTGCCTAAATAGTATATGATGTCATTAAATCAAAAAGGATAATATATGTTATCCACGGATTTTTGATTAATTTTTGACCTCATTGTATCATTAATCCCTCATTATTGCATTAATAGTGTCATCAAACGTTATGGAAAATATTATGAAAAACTTTGAATACGTATTTCCGGAAACATTGACAGCACAACGTCAGTGGGTACGTTTATGATGTCATAATGTCACAAAATTTGACATTTAGTTTGATAAGTTCATTGTGCTTGGTGGTGCAACCATTAGGTATCTGATTAATCAATTTAGTCTAACTATATCACTGTATTTAACTTATTTACTCACTGCTACATAATATATCGTGCAACCAACAACGGTTCCACTATTTATATCCGCATAGATTTTTATTGAAACAAAATGGGTAGGTCCAGATCTCGAAGTCGATCTCCAAGAAAGCATCATAAAAGTAAGCATCACAAAAGAAGTAAATCTCGAGAAAGAAGTTACAAAAATTCTGATCGAGTGGAAAAAGAAAAAACGAAGGATAAGCATCTTAAGTCAAGGTAAGATTAACAAGCAAAGGGAAGATCTATCTTAAAGCAACAGCACTGGCATCAGATTATTCTTTTAAACTGGGTATTTGGTCATAAACAAATGGTAATTTCGGTTTAAAAAAACCTTTTAAGTTTAACAATAATATGTGTTTCATGATTTTCTTGTTATTTTGGATAGTAGTTTTGGATAGGGCGCAAAAACCATATATTTACATATTAGCTTTTCTCAAGCCTTTAATTATTATGAGTATGATATACACATAACAGTATAATCATAGTTTCCATTTATTAGATTAAATATATTATGAATAACACATGCCATCTGGATTAATTAACCACCAGTGTTGTTATGTTAGTTAGTAAGTGTTGATTTCTTGTGTTTATTTACAATAAAATTAACATTTTTTGACTATTCTATTAAAAGCTAGATTCTAGATATAGGACATCATTCTACTTTGTCTGAAAAACACATTTTTTATTTTTATACCTGACTTGTATGTACTTTTCAGAAAACGTTCAAATTCAATATCTTCAACCTCCAGTAGTAACGCTTCTGATGATGGTTCCAGAAATGATAAATCCAATAGAAAGTACAAATCACGTAAAATGGATGAAGTTGAGAGGCTGGCAGAATTGGAACGTAATAGGAGACAGAGGGAAGCTGAGCAAAGGTTAATAGAAGAAGAAACTGCAAAAAGGATAGAAGATTTAGTCAAGAAAAGGGTAGAAGAAGAATTAGAAAAGAGGAGAGATGAAATAGAGAAAGAGGTAACTAAAAGGGTTGAGGAAGCCAAACGGATAATGGAAAAGGAAATGATGGAGGATCTGGAGAAGAGGAGGGAGAAATTAAAAGAAGAAGAAAGAAGACGTGAGGTAAGAATTAAATTTCTGCTACTAATACAATATTTTTACTGAAATGAAATTTGTGACATTTACATGTTTGTTAAAGAGTTTTTTTCGGTTAATAATTATAGATTTTTTTTGTAACACGTGTTTCATATTGTAATTGTTTTTAATGGTCTCTTTGTAAATAGCTTACAGGGACCTACAACCTTTTCCCCTACCATAATATTTAAAAATATGGAGAAATAAACCAAGTAATGGTAAAAAGACTTTTAATTACCTCGAATTCTTACAGTAAATGGTTAAAAAGTAGTTTAGTATGTTGATTGGGTACTTTAAAAACTCATTTAACTTAAATTCTGTTTTACATTAAACATTCTTAGAGATTAGGTTTTTCTTAAATTTGTTTTTTTACAATAGTAAACATTTCATTAAAAAAAATCTTACATAAATTCATAAAGCAGTATAAAATTACCTTCTATAGAAATACAAAAGCTAATCACTAATACAACATGTAGAGTTGTGTTTTGCCATTAGTAAAGAAAGTCAAAGAAGGATGTATCATTAATTATTGCTTTAGATGTTTTAAATCAGATACAAAAACATAATAAGAAATAAAGAAAAATCAAAAATAATTCTAAACATATACCTAACGTAAAAATATTGAAAAGTTTAACCATCTATGATGAACAATATATGTTTAAGTATATTTAAACATTTTATGTGTTAGCTTTGTAGAACCTACAGTTCAAAAAGATATACAAAATTTACAGATTTGATTCAAAAAGATAATCTTCACATTTGTATACAGATTCAATTCAAAACTTATAAATAGAATGGTAATGGCTGGATTCTTATTTGGGATTAGGCACTGGAAAGTACATATTTATAAACCCCAGTGGTCAAATTTTTAGCTCCCTAGGTAACCCCAGGGGTTGACTATCTCATAGTGTTAAAAAAATCCCTTACTTTAAAAAATCTGCAAAAATTGATAAATATTTTATTTCGAAAGAAAGATACAGCTACATACAGATACAGAGGAACATACAGATAACAACACCAAGAAAATGTGTTTTTTTTTTCGAATTTTGAGGATAATCCAGAGAGAAAATTGCAATTCTGTCATTAAAAAAAAACACGAAAAATAATTATTTAGAAGTTTGTCAATAATTACCTAGATAACATAAAATTTTTTTAAAGAAAATTTTTCCTGACCTCAATTTTGATCCAATACCTAAATCTAAAAAAAAATAAACACTATTTTTGGACATTAAAATGTACATCTATAAATTTTTCAGATTTGTTTAAGCAATAAATCACTTTTTTTTTAACATTATTTGCGACAGGGGACTCCTGGGGTCATCTAGGGAGCCCAGGATACAGTGGTTTCTGAATATCTACTTTTGAGTGCCCAATCCCAAATAAGAATCCAGTCAAGTGCAGATTTTACCACCTTATTCCTCTATAGTCTTTTTAAATGATTTAGTTTATCTTTTGCATAGATATGTTTGTGGAGTAAGAACTAATGAATTCAAATTTATACCAAATATTTATAATAATAAAGATAAAATCTTTTGGTCTTTTTTATTAAACAAATCTGTGAAATATTGATGAACAATTAGATAATTTTTCATAATGATTACTTTTTTGAGATAAGTTTGTTGTTTTTGTATCTATTTATAATTGAGCAGTGCATATTATTAATTAATTGTGTAATGGTAATTTTTTCTGTTCTAAATATAAAGAATTGATAAAAATCTTTTTATCACAAACTGCATGGTTTATTTAATACATTTATATAGGCTATTTGAAATATAAGTATGGTTAAATTGAATAGATCATAATTACTTGCATCAAAACATATTAAATTAATCTGTCATAATTAGTCATAATTAAATTTAGCAAAGTTTGTGTTGGTGTAGTAAAAGTGTTATTATAATTGTTATTGTATAACAATTTTACTACTTTTCTGCATAATTGTCACCAATATCAAGACATCATGCAATACTAAAATAGTTATATCAAATAACAAACTTCTGTATTCATGATCATACAAGTTTTCCATCTGATTTTATAGTCTTTTCAGTGTTCATTTTGCTAATCACTTTCATGAAAGTTGTGAAAGCATAACTGATTATCTTCTGCCAGGCAGGTCCAGAACATCAATGATGAGCAAAGCATCAAGCTTGTATCGAATTTTGTTAAGGAATATCATTGAACAATATGTATGGAAATACTCAGTATGTGCTATGAACTTGTCTCATTATTTTTTTATACTGCAATTTTAAAAAAATATGACCTAACATATTCCTCCTTTACTCACTGCAATCTTAATTCGAAATGGTTTCAACATCGTACCACCTAATCTTACAAAACTTTGTATCTGCTTGTGTTATTCTAATCAATGCTATTAGTTTAATTGGTACACCAAGTTCCTTCAACACCCTCATCAGTCTTACTCCCTTGGCTGTGTTTGTGTTACACACCATTTTTCTTCTTTATATACCATATCAGAATTATCAGAAAATGAGGGAACAAGCAAAGCAGACATTACACCAACATCGAGAGTGCAATATGGTTAGTATTAGAATCCGAATTTTTGTCGGATTTAACCTCCAATGGCCATTTAAGTCATGGGACGTACAGACCCGTAAAATGATCTTTATGGCAAGGCCGTAAAGATCTATTACCAGTAAAACTACCTTTTATTTATAAAACAAATTAGATGTAGTCAAATAAGAGGAATGAATTTGAATAAAAACCGATCGTATCTTAAATCTTGCTGTCATCTCAAAGGAAAATATCGCTGGCTCCGCGGCTCATATCTCAAAACACTCGTATATTAGGGCGCTCGTATATAGAGCACTGTATGAAGAACAAACAACAAAACTCAACCTTATTCATCATGTCCTAGGATTACACTGATTCCAACTCTTCCACCAACTAAATATCTTTTTTGTAAAATAATTTGTCTTTGCCATGGACCATTATTTTGAGTTTTGTATACAGTAAATAGTCATTGAGATCAAACTTAAAAACTACATTTGGTGACTAGAAGCAGATAATCCATTTTTTTTCATCATTGCGATTGGTTAGTTTTTATAATTTTTTCCTCCAGACAGACCATTACAGCTGCATAATATTCGCCATTGATGGTTCTTTTTTTTAGTTAATTGATGAACACAAAAATTACTCTATTGAATCACTGAGAACAAATGTGACTCCGACTTTGCACACAGCTTTCTTATTGACTTAAGTCCAAATTATGAATGTTTTAGTGTATTAGTCATTACATTTATTAAAACTTATTTATATTTAAACAGCCTGTATAATTGTAAAGCCTCCATATCACAACGACTCAATAAAATTTCTAAAATCAGTTAAATAAGCTCAATAATAAAAACTTCTCTGTACCTGTAAATGAACAATGTAAAGCTGATAGGTAGACTGTAGATTTGATGTCTACATACTAGTCTTGAAAAGTTATGTCATTTAATATATGCCAATAGCGTGTAAGCTAAGGGTCATCAGTGCGTGAACAAAGAACCGCTATGGAAGAAATTTGGCAGCTCTCGATGATGGACCAAGGAACGCCCACGCGGCACAGGTATTATCAAACCTTTTTTATACACCACCCAAAGGCTCTATGGGAACATTACAGCATGTCTCATTTTCAAATTTGCAATTTTCCAGAAATAGTAAACAATTTCTTTTTTATTTTTTTTTATCAACACCAATAAGATGTTTAAAAACATTGCAATCTCATCAAACAATAGGATTATTGAGCAACTGTTTTCTAGCCTAAATTATTAATAAAAACTTAGTAACTAAGGACACACTCGCTAGTATTCCTTAGGTTCTTTAGCATCACTTGTACTATACTCTGCGCAAATTTTACAATGGTATTGTTAACACTATCCATTTCTAGGTCTCTATGCAGGTCACTGTCCCTATAGTACCAAGCAGTGTTGACAGTGCTCCTTAGCACTTTGTTTTGGAATCGCTGGATGGTGTCGTCATTACTCTATTCTTTTACTTTTGCGAAAACTTAAACAAAATCATTACTTACCTGTATGAATGTGGTTAACTTTGTATGTTAATTAGTGTAAAAATAAAATACACTTACCATAAAATTTCAAACCCCAATATAAAATCAGTTGTGAAAACAACTGTTTGTGTAATATAAATAACTTCTTAAAGCAGAACAGGACAAAAAAAGCAAAAAATTCAACAAACTGAGCCATAAGTAAACAAACCAGAAACTTCACAAATTGTACTTAAAATTAGAAAACGTTCTCAAGCGTCTTTTGTACCTATCTCTTTTCAATGTACTGAGTCTCTCTCTTTGTCAACCATTTTCCATCTACTCCTGAATGTAGGTCTCTCCCAATTACTTCCATCTTTCTCTATCTTGCGCTAATCTAATCCATTGTTTGCCTGCCACTGCTCTTATGTCATCTACCCATCTTTTTTGAGGTCTTCCCATGCTTCTTGTTTTCGTCCTTGGTCTCCATTCTAGAATTCTCCATGTCCACCTGTTGTCATTATATCGGGCTACGTGACCTGCCCAGCGCCATTTCATTTTTGTAATTTCTTCCACAATATCCCTAATCTTCGTTCTACGTCTTATGTTGGTGTTTCTAATCTTGTCTCTCAGTGATATTCCAAGCTCGATTCAGTCCATTGCTCTTTGCATTGTTTTTAATTTTTAGCAGTTTTTTTTGCTAAGGACTACTGTCTCCCAGCCATAGGTACAAACTGGTAGTATGCATGGAGGTGTTTTTCAAGATATATGCTAGTTTTCCGAAAGCGTCCCATGCCAGTTGTGTTCTTTTTTAATTTCAGCGTCTTGATTTGGATTTCTAGTTTGATGACATGACTTAGATATACATAATGTTCAACATTTTCTATGGTATGATTTTGTATTGTTATATTTGTCTGGTCATACCATGTGTGGTTACCCATGCATCATTAATACTTGTTAAGATAAAATACATACTTTTTATTTAGTATCATTGTCTTTCCGCATG